GAAGCAACGTCGCTCGCGCATGCTGGACTTTGTGTGATTATTTCGGTCGCACAAATAGACTTATCGTAATCCAATGTCGGCTTTTAGAGCGAGGTGGTCCCGACTAATAAGCTTACGTTAGTGTCAAGTGTCACGAAGCTTCCGTGGCTCTCTGCGGCGCACAGATGGCTCTCCGACACGAAGGCCGCGCTCCTTGGCCCTCGCCGTCGGCGCCGGACTCCCACTCCGCCTCCTCCTCCTCCTCCTCCCCCTCCTCCTCCTCGTCCTCCTCCTCTTCTTCTCCTTCCTCTTTTTCTTCTTCTTCTTCTTCTTCTCCGATTTCTTCTTTTTCTTCCTCTTCTTCTTCTTCTTCTCTTTCGTTTCTCTTTCATTTTTTACTTTCTGTCTTCGTTTTTTCGTGAGGGCGTGGAATTCATTTCTTCCGTGCTTAGAGATCAGCCAGAAGTGTTTCTCGTTTGTGAATATCCATTTCTTTTCGGTTATTCATTGCTTTCCATTCTCATCTTCTATTCATGCATTCTAAACCCTTTAAGAAAAGAGTCTATAAATACATAAAATATGGTTACGGCGTTTATTGTTTCTTTAATGCATTTCACTTTTCAAATATCCTCCGATCTCTCTCTTTCTCTCTTTTTCTTCCTCTCTCTCTCTCTCTCTCTCTCTCTCTCTCTCTCTCTCTCTCTCTCTCTCTCTCTCTCTCTCTCTCTCTCTCTCTCTCTCTCTCTCTCTCCTTCTTCCTCTTCTTCTTCTTCTTTAAGATAATTATGGAACATTTTAAGATTTTGATGATTGTCCTTAATGACAACTGCAATACGATGTAATGGGACACACGACATCACGTTCCGAGGGACAATTATTGTTTAATATTTGTATCTCACGACAATCTGCACTCACAAGATGTCAGTATTAAGCCCCAATTTATCGCTAAATTATTCAAGAGCTCGCAGGCTGGATAGCAAAAAAAAACAAAAACAAAAAAAAAAGGAAAAAAGGGAAAAAAAGGTACATTGGAGTGGAGGACCACCCAAGCCAACAGCTGGAGTGGGAAGGAGGGAAGGAGGAGGCGAAAGGGTGAAGGAGGGAGAGAGGGAGAGGGGGGGAGGGGAGGTATGTAGGGAGAGGGAGAGCTGAGGGGAGGAAAGAAAGGAGGGGGGGGGGAGGGATGAGGGGTGGATGAAGGAAAAGCGTAACATGGGTTTAGCTGGGGGGGGGGGGGTGATGTTAGACGGAGGGTAAAGAGAAAGAGAGAGAGAGAGAGAGAGAAAGTCTTACACACCCTTTTTCATGGATTAGTAAGAATTATCAGCAGCAAATGAATCCATCAACGACATCAAAATAATTATAAACAAACAAATAATTAATATGCATCTCTCCTGCCCCCCCCCCCCAAAAAAAAAAAAAAAAAAAAACAGTATCACATTCAAATCAAATTCTCTTTCAACATCGCATTAAAACCAACCCATAAGTTTAGTTAACGCGGCAAATTAGCAACGTTTATGGTCTCGATGACATAACTAAACAGCCCTGTATACAAGTTATTCGAACCTCGGACTTAACTAATATGGTTTACAGAAGGCCCCCGGATTACGGCCGTACATACGCACATGGCGAGTAACTGCACACGTACACATGGGCCTGGGTATGTGATATCAAATTTCTCATCACAACTGCTCAAACCTGGAAATCTGATGCAATGTTGAAATGATATATGCATCTGTTCGAGGCGCGCTGCGAGGGAGGACCGCTGTGCGCTTGTTGATGTTCTGTTGTTCTCGCGTGGGTTTCTTGCGTTCTCGTTCGTCTGTTCTTGTTTTCTTTTTGTTTTTCGCTTTTCTTTCTTGTTTTTTATTTATTTTATTTTATTTGATTGTCTCGTTTATTTGCGTTTCTTTTTTTCTATCTCTCCTTCCTGTTTTGTATTCCTTCTGGCGACTGATTGATTTATTTAGCTTTTTTCGATAATGAAGATTATTTTTTTCCCTTCGTTATATCACCTTTTTCCTTCTCTCTCCTCCCCTTCTTTCCTTCCTCCCTTCCTTCCTTCCTTCCTTCCTCCCTTCCTCTCATTCCTTCCTCTCCGAAACCCATATGGCTATTCCTTCCCCTCCACACACCCCTCTTTCCCCTCTCCCTCCCCCTACCCCCCTCCCCCCCAAATACCCGAGATGTCTTATTTAGCCAGTCAGTTGTTCCATTAAGACTCAAGAAACAATAATATGTCGCGGAAATTCGAGTCAACACTAGCAGGCTGGCGGCTGACCGACCCGAGGGGGGGGAGGGGGGTAGAGGGATACGTCTAAGGGGTGGGTAAGGGGTGGGGGGGGGTGGAAGGACACAGCAAAAGGGGGATATGGGGGAGGGATATGGCAAAGGGGGTGGGGGAGGTAGGGGGATATGGCAGAGGGGGGGGGGAGAGGGAGGGAAGGAGGGATAGGGCCGAGCGAGATGTATTTTTCCCCTTTTTTCAAAAATCTTCGGTGGTTTTCCCTTTTCGCTTCGTATTGTTTGTCGTCGGCCTTGGGTTTTGGGTGTTGTAAGGAAGGAGAGAGGGAGAGGTTAAAGGGAGAAGAAGGG